GCGGCGACTTTCTTCGAAACGGGAAGAAGGGAAGGACGTCGGCACATCGAACGAGTTCCGCTAAAAAACTCGTAGATTTCCTTATCGTCGACCAGTCGGACAGCTGAGAGGAAGTCCCCATCCGGAATATCCTCGTCGTTCCACCGCCTTATCTCCCTTGCAGCGTATGCTTTATCACCTCCGCTACTCCGCAACTCCTTCTTTTCGCTCTTCTTCCCTGCCTTTCTTGGCGCATCTCCACGTCCACGCGTTACGCAACCAACTGCCCCGTTAGACGTGTCCCGCGATTCGCGTCACAATTTCATAAGAAGGATCTCCGTTATTTTTCCAGCGAGCGCCTCACCGTCACGGAATGCCTTCAACACTCTTGGTTCAACATGTTCGACGATCCTCAGCCGTCTCTGTCTACGCCCACCTGCTCACCGTTGGACCAGTCCTCGATCGACGACACCTCCTCGTCGGAGTCGAAGACGTCCACCAAGTCGAGCTCGATCCAAGAGCAGCAAACGGTATCCACCACGCCGAAGAACGACTCGGAGAAGCAGCAGAGATCGTCGAGCGTCGAGACGAAGAGCACGGCGACGAGAGCGATCTCTTCTCACACGGAGAACTTGTACTCCAAGTCGAAGCTGTCTCCGAAACCCGCGAGATTCGGTCTAAGTTCGGATCGCAGGGACACGTTCAAAAGGAACATGGACTCGCTGGCGCAGAAATTTTCCGGGGAGATCGTGATAATCGAACCAGTTTCCCCGACGAGCGGTACGACAGTAGTCTCCTCGAACGTGTCCAGCGGGACGCAAAGGAGGGCGACCGCCACGCACACGATGCCCGCCGGGGAGGTGTTCAAGTGCACCCCAGTCTACATCCTGGGCGACGAGCTCCACTGTAGCGACAACAACAGCGACACCGTGGACAGCTCGAGCGATCGAAGCAGCATCTACTCGGACGACTCGCTGGACTTCATCCTGTACGGGAAGAATCAAGGTAGAGCCAGTTTTCCATTCGCGACCACGGATTCGACCTCCGACCGATGGGAGCCGAGGCACCACACGCGCGTGTGGCCCAGGGAGTGCAACGGGGTGGTTAGCAAAGCTATCAGCCGTTTCTCGTCGGAAACGACGAACGCGAAATTCAGCAAAATCTCCACGCCACCGTCGGTCCACGGAAAGACGGTCCTGGAAGCGCACCGCGAGAGGGGAGGGAACCTGGTCGTGATCCGCGAGCCGGTCAGAGCTGGCAGGTACACCAGATACAGCGAGGTGCAGTACGAGTCGGTGCAAGCACGTATTCGAAGATTTCAGGTCCACGGAGCATCGTAGACGCGGTTGCGGGGTGTCGTGGTGACCTGTCCATGAAGGGCTTTCTCGAGCAGCTTCGCAGTCCTGGATCTCGCGCGGGGTCCGTTGTACATATTGTTACTTTACGGTGTACAGTACACGTATGTTTCGGTACCGGTGCGTGCTACACGAGGAATCGGTGCACCCGATCGAGAGAGTAGCGGCTGTAAATAAAACGGAGGAATTGGGAAGAAGTGGCGCGGGTACCGATTCGTGGCGCGCGCCTTGTAAATACTATTCGGACGACCGAGAGGAAAGATTGTACGTTGCGTTAACCGAAGTAGAGATTGTACATACACGTAGGAGAGGTGGTAGCAGGAGATCGGACGATGGAACGTCGCGTCGATGTGTCGTTTGCCATTACAGAGAGACTGACCGGTCGAACGAACGAAGAAGAAGAAGAAGAAGAAGTAGAAGACGAACCGCGAGTCGCTCGTTCGAGTTGCTCTCGCGAGAGAAACGAAAGTCTGTGGTGCACCGTGGCGTTCCACGGGGGGCCGAACCTCGCGATTATTACGTAACTGGTAAATGTCAGGCATATGTCAGACTCCGTTCGGAATTCTAGAGTAGCTATTCGAGGTGGAAAATGGCGCGAGCAACTGGTCGACCGAGCGGCAGCGGATTCGCGCAATCTAGCCATAATAGAATCGTCGAGATCGTCGCGGCCTGGATCGTGGCGATAGCAGTGACTCTAACGAATTACCTTCAGGTCCATTCCGGGGGATCTCGTTAAGATCGAAATTCGATAACTTGGGTGCCTTTTTACCGTATTCAACTTTTTAAGAGAATCCGTATGCGTGTACTTGTACACGACGGTGAAGAATCGTCGTATCGAGTCGTACACGGGGATCGTGAACGCACACTCGTAGTGCCTATTTTTGTTTCGTCCCGTTCGCATCTTGCCACGGGAAAAATCATCGCGAGCACGATGGAGGAGAGAGTCAGAAAGAATGAGAAAGAGAGAGAGCGTGGTGAGAGAACGAATCGATGCTTCCAAGAAGAGTCGGGTGAACGAGCAAGCAAAAGAAGTTCGCACAGTGCCTTACAATTAGTCGTACGGGCGATTTTCACCAATCGCGCCGTCGATCGATCGAAATTGAGAGCCTAGACTAGCTTTAGGCGTCTCCAATTCTTCTCGTTGGATCGATAGCGTCTCTCGAGGGAGATCGAGAACTCTGTACCCCCTCGATGCGCAGAATACCGCGCTACACCACCGAACAGAACCACGGTTTTTTACAATCTTCGCTTTTTTCACTTTCCCCCCTCTACCGTCTAGGATATACCGACGATGCGCCGTTAATATTAAATCGAACCTTTAACCGCCGCAGAACATATCCAGGGACGAGTTTCGTTTTGTGAGGAATGGAACGATCGAGAGTTGCTCACTAGTTGAACAAACTCGCGATCTTTTCAGCTCCGTCAGGTCGCGAGAATAAAATACACGAATATATATATAGATATATATCGATTTACGTATAGATACCTAACTTTGCGAACAGTCGTATCGCGAGGCATAGCCGCGAACTGTGCAAGGGCGAACGCTAAAAAATCTCGTGGAGCGTAAACTTCCGTGGTCGAAGGGAGCGCTCTGTAAATGCTAGTCATATATAGTCGCTCGTCCCCTTGTTCGAACTCGTTCGTTTCCCTCGTTCTCTTTTTTTTTTGAAATCGCGGCAACATCCGGCGAACGATTACGAAAAATTACCAGGGTGGAAAAACGAGACGAGAGTGATTCGAGGAAAGGGGGCGAGCGCACGATCGAAACGACGAATCGCGCGTCAACGTCAGGAGAAACGTCTCTAATTCCAGCCTTTATAAAAGCAGCAATAGATTTGCCCGGGAGAGGATTGCGTATGGAAAATGGCGATCGTTGTTTCGTGGCATCGAACCTCGTGGATCGAGGGAATCGTTATCGAATTGTTTCTTCTTTCTGTATTTCTTTTTTTTTTGTTTTTTGGACTCCACGAACGATTATTATCGAGAGCGTTCGTCCGTTGAAATTCCGAGGCGCACACGGAGGGACACGTAGACGCACGACGACACGAAAGAACGCGTGATATGCGACGAATTGTTTGACGAGTGTGACGAGGTGTGAAAAAAAGGAAGGAACGCGAGGGAGTGTGTTGCTGCGTGAATTCACGATGATTGCCTCTGAGAATCAAAGAAGAAAAAATCATAGAGACCTGTAATATAGTTTTGCTACAACACGGTAGAGAAGGGCGTGCACCCGAGCGACACGGCTCTACCATTTCTCCAGGCCAATTTCGTCGTCGTTATTTATTTCCGTCTACTTTCTGCCCTCCTCCCCCTCACCCCTGTATCCTCGTATTTAATTAATTTTTGCGTGTCGCGTTTTATTCTCGTGCCGTTTCGATCGTTGGGCCTCGCAGGAGAGCGTGCCGTTTTTCCCTTTGTTATTGCTGTAATGTTATTAATATCGAAGTTAATTACGATGAGAAGAAGAACCGAGTATGTAGACGTTATAAGACCTTGTGTAAATATTTCTCTTGTCATTGTATTAATTTTAATAACGTGCAAAAATAAATGCCGCAAATCATTCAGAAGAGAATTGTCCGTGAGAGAAGATCCCTTTATCCGACGAATTTCGACGAGACCGATAAAGTACAAAGTGTAGCCGAGACCGTCAGTAGTTTTTCCCATATGTGGAACCGAATGTTCACCAAGACCGTCGGTTTTCTTTTCATCCTATAAATAGGCGGGCATTAATAGCAGCCAGGTGAGCCGGTGATTCACCGGCAAGATTTCCTGCCGGGACAAAAGCCGCTGCTAATCCCATTCTAATCCGAGAATCGAGTGTTTGCGCGAAAAGTAGACAGAGATCGGTGCCTGTAATTAATCGCGTTACGCTTCGACTCGAATTGCCCCGCGAGACAAAAGGAGAAACCGTAACCGACGCGACGCTTTGACGAATACCGTAATCGAAAGCGCGTTAATTTCGCCTTGAAGGGGCGCCCACGCGTCCCGCGATGCATATTCAAGAATCTCGAAAACGGTCACCGGTTAAAATTCAATCGACGACATCCGGGTTCGCGCGGACAGGATGATTGATTTTTTTAGAAAGTTTCCTCCGGCTGAGACCGACCAGACGGATTACGGGACACGGTTTTTCAGCGGGACCGTTTGCTCGGCAGACGTTTGTAAGAGTCTGGTCGAGCGTGGAATTTCGGTCGGGCAATAGTATAAATTGGCCAAAGCGGCGCTTTTTCCCCCCTCGCGACCTCGACAGGTGCCGAAGAGGCGCATCTCGCGGGCGTTGATTTAGCAATTCCTAGGCGCCATCGGGGCTGCTTCCGTTAGCGGAAGCGACTTTCAACGAAACGCGTTAAAATCCGCGAGGAGGGAAGGTCGAACGAATCGTATAACTCGGATGAAAGGGGGAAATACACCGAAACGAGGAGATGTACGATCGACGTTTTCCCGATACAGAATCGTGTAGGTATATATGTACATAGAACGGTAAGATATACCTGGGCAGCGAGGATAAAGTCTAACGAGGAGCCGTCTGGAGGGTTTCGGGGAGAAAAAGGGTTTAACGATAGCCCGAGACAAATGTCGCCCGCGATCCTGTTGAAACGGAGAAGTTGCAAATTCTGGCAGTGTACGTAGAGGCTGTGGGCATTAATCGGCCGCCAAGTATGGTCGTAACTCGGTTATTAGACACTAGCCGGTCGTTCCTATTGTGTCTAATTCTTGGATCGTAAATCGTAGGAGAACGTTGCACGTGCATGCTGTGCACGTCGCGCATTACGAGCAACCGGTGCACGCATCATACCGTCTGTTATGGTAGTCGGTAATTTGCATTCCCTCTGGATACCGTCTCCTTCGTCGTGTAAATAATGCTCGGTCGCTTCTCCTTCACGGATCTAACGAGTTTGAGTCGCGCTACCCGCTGTCTCGGACCATTGTTCTTACGCGCCGATTAAAAACGGACGCTCCACTGGTCAACGATCTTCGTCGCGTGCCTTCGCCTCGATTATTAGACAATCCTCCTTCACGAACACGTCCGTCGCGGATAATTGGCCTTGTTCGCAACTCGAGCACCGCTCGCCGTCGATACATTTGCAAATTAATAAATTTCCACGGGCACGCGCGCGAATTGGTGAAGTAATCTGGGCCGGGTATAATTGCGGACGTAATACGCTTAGCTTAATCCACGACTGCTAGATAATAAATAACGTCCGACTAATTGGCGACCAAAGAAATCTGTTGGTTTCTTTTTTTTTTTTTATGGCAGCTTGTTCTCCGTTTTATCTCCCCGGCGCGGCGATACATCGTAAGAAATTCGGACAACGAATAAGCTATTATCGTAATCGAATCTTGGATCGACCACGTTGAATGGCGGGCAATAAGTTATATCGTTTTAACAGCGGAGAGAAGTAAAACGCGGCGCGTACCGTCAATGCCACCAAAACGAGCACCGCGACCGTGCAAAATACTTAAAAACGTCAGTCGATGAATTATGCGCTCGCGAAAGGGCAAAATCTGACGCGTTATTTATTACGCGAGAGACGGTTTCCTCCGGAAATTAAAACGATACTCTTCTTTCTCCTCGGCGTTCCACCTCGAGGAAGAGGCCGAAATTAGGCGGAACGTTTTCTCGAAGGCGAGCTAGACGGCTTTCGTTTTCATCGCGATAAAAGTGAGACGTTCCGATTCGATTGCCGCGAAACGCGCGAACGCATCGAATCGAGGACGTTGCCGTGAATCGAACCAGCCGCCGAGCCATCCGGGCTCGAGCAACAATGACGCGCCGCTTGAATTTATTACACTTGCCGGTTGCACCTATAAAGAGAAATCATTAAGCGAGCCGACGACGTTCAATCGCCGTCGGATAATTGATTTCTCGAGAGAAGAGAGACACGACCTCGAGTTCGCGCTGCCGCTCGCTAGTTTAGTCCGTAAATGGTGCTTTTCTCGCTCGAATAACCTGCGTAAATAACGAAAAACCGAAAAACCAACGACTTTCGTTCGATCCCGTCCGCTCGAGGAAATCTACGCGTACGTCTCCCGTAAGCCTAGGCAGAGCTAGTAGGTAGACAACGAAGAACGAAATACGGCAGACGAGGCGAGAGAGAAGATCGTTCTTTTTCTCGCGTCGAAGGTGAACGTCGCGTCGGTGAGGAGCCGGGTAAAAAAGTGCTTGCGAATTCGTCATTGAAAGTAGACGAGCGGTGGATAAGCGAGCAATTATCCTTGGCGCGATCGCGATCGAACACGCCGCCGCTAATTGTCGGTACTAATTGCTTGTCACCACTCTCGTGGATACTTGCACGTACTTACCAATACTCGCGGGGATAAGGTTCCGAGTATTCGTGATTCGCGCGTGTCCCGCCGCGTAATCGAACCGTCCGGTCGCGGTCGGAAAACTCGCCGGACAAAGCTCAAGGAAGAATTTTCGTCGCTGCACGATTTCCAGAGGTGGAATAAAAGAAACGTTCGGATTCCTCGTTAATCGATTTCTCCTTAACGAACCCGCGACCAGGAAAAACCTTTGCTTATCCCATGGATCTGGGACCGAGCATCTCCTTGTTCGATTTTACCCTGACGCGTAACGAGGTGGTCCTGTTGAGAACACGCAACGCTCTAGGAAATATGACGGAAGGCCTGGCACGTCCGTTGGAGCGATCGAGATCAACGTGATCGACTCGTTTCCAAGAAGCGATACAATCGGGCATGGAAATATCGAAGGTAAGACCCCCACGCGTTCATTAACATATTAACGCTTATACCTCGTTTCACTACCGCGACTCTCCGCTAACCTAACCGAATCTCCATCATCCGCGAAACGATTCAACGACCTCCGAAGCAAGATCTGTCGCACAGGTGTCTCGTTGAAGGCGAAACAAATTATTATCTGTCTCTAACCAGCATCACGGTCTACCTTTGTTTCCGAGGCATTGTTCGGAACAGCGAGGAATGATGGATTGCTCGGCCGCGAGGGACGCGAGGGGAGAGAAGAAATAGAAGAGCACGGTGGCCACGCGAGAACAGGATCTAGGAAGGAAGCGGCGGAATTTTTCCTACCTCCCTGAAAGCGCAACTTATGTACATGCATAATACGATCGTGCGCCTCGGCTGGATACCACCTACGTCAGAGACGGTGTACACCAGCGGCGTAAACAGCACTAAAAGCAGCGGCGGCGGCGGCGGCAGCAACAACAACGACAGCCGCGCTCGTGTGTCCACTCGAAGAGGAAGAAAGAGAAGGAGTGGGACGAAGAGGAGTGGAGGAGGACGCGACGAGGCGGGAGAGGAGAGAGACGAAGCAAGGAGGACGGTTCGAAAGAAAGAGGGAACGAGAGGAAGGAGCGAGTAGTCTATGGTCCAGCGAGTCGACCGCGGCAAGAAAGAAAAGAGAAGCGGGCTGAAACGAAGCTTGTGGTCTCTCGCCAACTCGTGGCCAGTTTCAGCCGCGGCGCTCGACCGTCAAGCTCGCGAGATCTCTCGTTGGAACGGCGAGAGAGAGAGAGAGAGAGAGAGAGAGATGCGAATATCGCCGTTGTTATCGTCGATCGAGCCTACCGAATCTCCGATGCTCCAGCCTGCTCGATGAACTTTTAACCGAGCTTCTGCTATTATCGCCGCACCGCTATCCTTGGCCAGTTTTCGGGTTCGAGTGCTCGTGTTCGTCCAGTGAAATCGAAAGTAACACCGCTTGGATCGTTCTCCGTGGCCGTTTTTGGCTGCTTGGGAAATTGAGCAGCGCAGGTAAGTCTACTTACTCGGGCCGTGTCCGAGAAAGTCTCTCTGCTAACCGAATCTGGTTGGCGTGTTCCAGCGCTCGATGCCCTGGGAGGACTCGGTTTATCGGTATGCTCGATCGTGCTCGTTGAAGAAATTCTCGTGCGAATCTGGTGGTGACAGAGGAGGAGGAGGAAGAGGAGGAGGAGGTGAGCTAGCATGATCTATCAGCCGAACCATCAGTCACCGACGATGTCGTCCGCGAGGAAAACGTCGCCACGACCGCAGCGTCGAAACCTGCAAGCGTCCTCGGGGAAGTGCGCGAACGCGAAGGCGAAGGCGAAGGCGAAGGCGAAGCGTACAGGAGGCAACGGCGAGGAGAGATGCAGAGGAAGGTGTAGAGTGCAGTGGAGCGAGAAACACGTGAAGGAGGGGTTGGTTCTGGTTCAGGAGGCGCAGCTGGCCAGAGTGGTGAAGACGGGGCCCATCACCGAGCACTACGAGATCGACCCGAAGCCGTTCGCTAAGTAAGACATCCCCTAGAACCGTTTAGAACGGAGGTAGGGCAGTGAGGAATCGACCTTCGCCGCGATCTTTAATTTCTAGCCTAGTTATTATCCGCGATAGGCGCATCGGACGTTGATCCACGATCATAGGGGAGCAAACGAAAGTAATAGATCGCGATTCTGCAACGTGTAATTTCACGCTAATAATTTCATTTGAAATGATACGGTGCCGCGAGATCTTCTCTTGAATCCTCGTTGTTTTTCCGGCTAGCCTCTTGTACTCGGTAGCCAGCACTCGAGCTCTCGAATCGAGGCAAAGTGGCACTGGAAATGGAGCACGCCCAACCGAAAGCGATAATATGTTAATCCCGTCGCTCCAGATGCAGCCACCGTAAAAACGAAACTGCGTCCAACGACGACCGTTAGAGTTGGTCGAAAGGCCACGAGAAACTCGTTGAACTTTGTTTCCTTCGGTATTTGTCGGATACGTTAATGCAGGTTTAAACACGTCGTCGTGCATCGATAATGCAATTGCCTGCGGTGATTTTGCATCGTTAACGATACGAATTTGCTCGATACAAAGGCGATTTCCCTGGGAATTTGCAAATTTCAGGGGGCTGTTTTTTCCGACTCGGGCTCGTTAACGAGCCGGCTCGCGATCTCGCCAAAACGGTCGAGACGCGAAAGGCAAGCGGATGTCTCGAAGAATTTGCATGGCACGCGGCGAAACGACGAATGTTAATTCGGCGAACGACAAGTTGGCGTCTACGGTTAATTGCTCGATACAAGAACAGGGGTAATAAAAATGGCGAGGAAGGAACGACGGCAATAAATTTTCATAAATTATCCCGTGGACGGGCGACGAGGAATCCAATTTTCCTAAGATCACTCCGGGATCTTTAATCATCGGAGAGAGAACGCTTTGATCGTCCCGATTGTCGGGACAACGGTTCGCATCGACCGTATATAGTAGCACGATCTCTGCCCCGATCGGTTCGTATTCCCGATGATTCAGTGAGAGCGTGATTGCGATTCGGTATCGCGGGCAGGCCAGCGCAGCGGTTCGAGCACACCTGGTAATTACTTTTAGAAACGGGCCTTGAATCCACGGCGAACGGCGCGCAAAAATTGCTCGCGCCACGGGCGAGGGTGAGGGGCCTGGAAAATCGAGGCTCGCCAGTGCGTTCAAATTGCGAACGATTAAAGTTAATTGCACCCACTATCAGATGCTCGTTACGACTGTCGCGCTTATCTGGTCCGGATTAAAAGAGGCTGGGTGAAATTGGAGGGGAGGGGGGAGTCACGAGGATTCGGCGATCACCGCGCGCAAGGGCGTCTACTTTCCCCGCTGGAAATTTACAGGCCGCCGCGCCGGGAACGTTTCTTCCGGGAGAGTCGAAGAAGGTTCTAAGTAAAATGTTTCGAGAACACGGTGAGCGGGACGGAACGGAACAACGAAGACGTTTGCCGGTCGCGTGGGACGTTTGCGCGATAAAGTTGGCCCCGCAGAGAGAAGCGTAAAAGCAGTCGCTTCGCGAGCGTCGCGGTTGCACGCGTTCCGGGCACAGCCTTGCCAGGCGCCGCGGCGTCGACCTTGTCGAACAGAGACGCTCGGAATCCTCCACGACGATCGTAAAAATCTCCGGTTGACGGCCAACAAAATTTCCGTTGCCGCCTGCTTTCGTCTTTTCGCTTGTCTGTTGAACTTTACGAGGCTCCTGCTCCGCGCGGACATTCGTCGTTGCTCCGCCCCTCTCCACCTCGCTGGAGGAAAACGACTAACAGATTCGAACGTGGTTCCACACAGCGGACAATGGGCGAAAGTGTATCGGTGCAGATCTCGATCGACCGGTATCCTCTACGCGGCGAAATACTCCTCGAGGAACCGATTCAACGCGGACTGCAGCGCCGAGCTGAGACACGAGATCGCTCTGCTCTCCCTCTGCTCGCAATCCCCCCGAGTCGTTCGCCTGCACGACGTTTACGAGACTCCCAAGGAAATTATTCTCGTGATGGAATAGTGAGTAGCTCTTCTCTCCACGATCCGCGACGTAGCAACGATAAGAAAGAAAGAGCGTTGCTCCAACTTGATATCGACACTTTCAGCGCCCCCGGAGGCGATCTGCAGACGCTCATCGACGGCGATTTGGTGCCCCTCGAAGGTGACGTGGTGCACTTTGTGAGGCAGCTAGTAGAAGGACTTGCCTACCTCCACGAGAGAAATATCGCCCATTTGGACATCAAGGTAAGTTCGACCCATAAAAGGTCGAAGCGAACTTGTCACGCTTCTCGTATATCCGGATCCCGGAACCGACTCTGCGCTCGACGTCGCGTCACCGGATAGTTCCGACGATTTCCTTCACGCGTGCAAGTCTCCAGTCTGCGCACTGCTCGATCGATTCCTAGATCTCCCTCCTCTCCTAACTTCCACGCGATGCGATACCAATCAGTCGGCAGAGGGAACTAAGCAGGACAAAGAAGAGATACACCACCTCGCGAGACGCGACGAAGAATGGAAACGACGCGCGTTTCCGATCGCATCCACGGCGCGGCTTTCGATTTCAGGATAACGACCATCGTCTCTGGCTTTGATTTTTCCAAGGAGCTACAACGATCGTAAAGCATCGCGTCGGCGTAATTAAGAGTTCCGCGCTTTTACGACACCCTCCGCGCAACGGGAAAACAAACAAACTCGTTGGCGAACAAAGCGAGAAAGGATCCGGTGGGAGGGGGGGGAAATGCAAAGTTGCGGTAAACGATTCATTGTCGCGTACGGATAAAAGCATTCCTCCTTGTTATCCTCGCGAGAAATTGGCGAAAGGTCGACGAGCCTCCGAGACAAGATCCTCGAGAGCGCGTGCCGACTTTTATCGACGACGTAAATCGTGTCGCGCGCGAATCTTTTCCCTCGAATCTCCGTCCGTGGTGTTTATTTAGCTGTCCATTCCGAATTCGATTTTTCGCGCGCGATCAATATCGATATGAACTGGGCGAACGTGTACCACTGTCTCCTTCGACGCGACTTACGATCCACTCGATACGTCTTTACCCTCTGGCCAACTTACTTATTTCTGCCTCGGCAAACTTACACACCTTGCCCTTCTATCTCCTTTCTGGGAACAACTCGGAAACTTCCTTTCCTTTTCTCCTTTCTTTCTTCTCTCGGTAAAAATGTGAGAATTCACGTCTGAAATGATGCGATCCACGGTTCGCGAGCTGTTGCGTGCGCCGCGCCGCGCGCGTGTACATTATTCCCGCGCTCCATAAACACTCGACCACCGTATTTGGATGTAGCGGGGCGCGTATCAAAGGGAGAGGAGGCGCGGGACGCTCCATGTACCGCCATGCTGGCGAGCGTGTGCGAGCGTGTGCGAGCGTGTGCGAGCAGCCGGCTGCACCTCTCTGTATCCACCGCCGAATCGATGCAATTACATTGTCTCGCGGTGCAGACTGCACCGTAGGCGATACGCTGTCCCGCCTCGCTCCAAACCATCGATCCTCCGTCCAAACCTCCGTCCTTCTACAAATTGGCCCTTCCTTTTTCTTCTCCGCTTCTCTTCCTCGAACGAGCGGTTAGTCTTTCGCCGGGAAAGGACCTCGTCGTTTGTAAGAGCGTGCACGGCGCGATAGAATCCAGGAGGAAAAACAGAACGCAATAAGGCCCCACGCTCTTCGCGGTGGAACGACCACGCCCTGGCTTCGTCGGTGAATCACACCTGGTTCCTATCTCGCTGAACGCTCGATACCTATGTCTGGCCGCCATAACTGGAGCAACTGCTGATAACTCGCGAAATTCCCGTGAAAGAGAAAGGAAGGGGGACGGGACACCGGTTCTTCGATACGCGCAGATCTACTATACGCGCTACCTCGAGCTCCTCCGAGCGTCGAGAAGCTCGAAGCAAAGGACGGAGGTACCGTGTGCCTAAGCGTGTTCTCTAAGCAAGTATAAAGGAATAATCTCGATAAAGCAGTTTGCACTCGATGAATCACTAGATCACTCGCAGCTAACCTGTTCACCGTAACTGGAGCACCTCTGGGTGTCTCGCGACGTTTACTGGAACAGAGGAGGAGAGGAAATTTAATGAAACGCCTCGGCTCCTTTCCACCGTGCTCGAAAGGGCAAGCTTGTTCGATGTTTAATAAGTCAGCTTCGTTTCAGCTTTAACTCGATTGAACAACTCGCTCTAAACTCCTCTCGGACGTGTAAATACGCGCTTCTTTACGAAGGTTTAATGGGATGGAAGGTTATACCATCGTACCACGGCCCACGCCGAAATTGTTGGAGCAACGTGGCCAGTTGGTCGCGTGGGATTTCGTGACATCCCTCGACCAACGAGGGAAAAAAGTGTCTCGTTCGAGCCTGGAAGGAAATACAAGAGAAAGGTCGATCAACGAGAGTCGGAGGCCGCGATTAGATTTATCTCGAGCCGCGGAACGTCCACCACCGGACGTAACAACAACTCTGGCGGTATTGCGACAATTTAGTTTTACGTCTTTTGTCGTTACTTATCAACCTAGAGAAACTTTGAATATTCAGAGGTCGCCCACGCGATCACATCTTCAAGGACCTGGACGTATCGAAGGAAGATTCTACCTGTCCGCTGTTAGAGTAATCCGTATTTCGTAGATTGGAGAGCGAGAGGCGTGGGTCTAGAGCTCCAGCGTGTACTTGTTAGGCTGGGAAATGGCAACGGGTGACGTGTATAAGGAAACGCGAAGAACCGGCCGTTGGGAAATCTAGGCTCCTCTAGACGACGCTCGACGATCGAATATAGGTTGCATTCTTATGCGACTCTCGTCGTGCAAATAAAACGCGTAAGCGTCCTCCTCTCTCCCTTGCTCGAGGAGGAGAGCAACACAGCTCTACGCAGCAAAGATCGTAGCCTCGATCGCACGCTTGTTCACCGGGAAACTTAATATTCCCCATTCTATTCCTCGAGCGCGCGCTCGAATTTATCGTAACAGCATCTGCCGTGTTTATGTAAATGATCCGCGATGTTCGCGGAACGATCCTGCGATTTATCGAGAAGAAAGGAAAACGAAACGTTTCCAAAATAGCGGACGTTTAACGTTCGTATCGTACCAGCGAGTGGAAAGAACGACGCACGATGCCGCGATTAACTCGCCATTAGCTGGCAACGTTGTTCGAGTCAGCCTCATTTGCATGGACCGAAGTCCCCCGAGAATTTTTTCTCCAACGCGTAGATCATCGAGGATTCGCGAAACGGCCGAAGGAAGAACGTGCACGGGCATACCTGATTCCGTTGCTCGTCGCGCGGAATACCCGATACTCGGGCCTTCTAATTGCCCTGCTGTTCGTCCCAACGAATATCGACGCGTGCCTATTAACAGGCATTTTGTTCGGGATAACCACGAACAAAAAAAAATATCAACGAGGCCATTTTTCGTTGGTTATTTACGAAAAGGCTCCGGCTTGATTAACGACTCAATTGATATCGAGAAGACGAAATTTCCTCCATTCGACCTTGTTGCGCTTTTCAGCCGCAGAATCTGGTGATGATGGGCAGCTTTCCCGAGTGCGAGGTGAAGCTCTGCGATTTCGAGATCTCCAGAGTGATCTTAGAGGGGACGGAGGTTCGCGAGATTCTCGGGACACCGGATTACGTGGGTAAGTACCTGCTTTCTGTAGTACCTCGCCGAAATTCTCGATTTCTCTGCCGGAATGATGTATCGCGGACATTACTTTGTATCGCGAATTCACCGCGGCCAGCCAGGTAAGTCGGCAGGTGTGTCGGCACTTTGCTCCCCGTTCTCGGTTAATTGCTACCAATCAATATCTCGAGCGAGATCGCAAACATAATCGATATTAATTGACACGTTAGCCTCATTGCGGGCTTTTAATAAACGTTCGTACGCGACATTCACCCGCAGAGGGGGGGAGAGGATAATTGCAGTCGGCGCGGCGCTTTGAAATCTCGTCGTTTCAGGCATTGCTAATCGACATTGACGGTTTTCTGCGCAAGATCGAGAAAGAACAGTTATCGGATCGCTTTTATAGAAACTCTTACGGATGACTGAACGTTAGAGATTATCGTCAATCGGGAATTTTTAATTACTCGTGAGATTTACGAGATACATTTTTCATTCGGCTGATAATCCTTTTCAATCCTTCTCTTTGTTCCCCGTTTCTCGTTACGTTTCGCATGAGAATACAACGCGTTGCGCTGCGTAATGGCAGAATGCTATACAAAGTTTATTCAACGATAGGACCTCGCTCGTAGGCCGCGTAGCTAACTGATATAATTGATGCGCGCCATTATTCCCGTTGAATATCTTAATCGAGCTTGACGTTTTCGAAAGCGAACGAGGACAGTCGTCGCGATCCTATCTCCAACCTTTACAAACCTCTCTCGCAATTTTACGCTCTAGACCACTAGATAAAGTTTATCTCGTTTGCAAATAAAAATGACGATATCGCCATTCTTCGTTTCAGCTCCTGAAATCCTCCACTACGAGCCGATCACTTTGGCCGCTGATATGTGGTACGTACCGATTAACCGCCACACAATTATCCAATCCTATCCTATCTGATAACTCTAGGTCTCTGGGCGTCACATCCTACGTTCTATTAACTGGCTTCTCTCCGTTCGGTGGTGAAACCGATCAAGAAACGTTTCAAAACATCTGTTTGGGCGAGGTAGACTTCCCGGAAGAATTATTCGGAGACATCTCGGCGCAGGCAAAGGATTTCGTCGCGAAGCTTTTGGTGCTGGACCCAAGGTAAACTATTCGCCGCGCTGCTTCAGCTGAGCAACGCCACCGAGACGTTGGTCTATTTTTGTTCCAGCGCACGAATGACCGCGAAACAATGTCTGCGTCACGATTGGCTACGAGGCGCGCCCACACAAGCGTCGCCTCATCTCAGAAGATACCTGTCGAAGTCGAGGGAAGTCCTTCTGGAACGAGTTGTCAGCCGGGAGAATCTGCGGAGAGCGGCGCTTTTGAGCCAGGCGAGCAGCCAAGCGAATCTGTCGGGCGACGCTCAAGAGTCGAATCATCGCGATCAAAGCTTGCAGGATTGTTTGCTGAGTCAAAGCGAGATGTGCCTGAGTCACCGTCTCACCGGAAGCCGATCTAGTCTCGAAGGTAGCGAGGATTTCCCGAGTCCAGCAGATTCTCGGACCAGCCTCAACTCTTCCAGGACCAATCTCAGCTGCACCAGCCAGAGCTGCTTGTTGAACAAAGAGCAAACGCAGGGTTTGTTGAGCCGGGCGCAAAGTAGATCGCAGGCAAATCTGAATCACGGTCTCAGTCGAGGACTCCTGTCTAGAATACGAAGTCTGAATCGAATTCAGTCCCAGGCGTGTTTGCTCAACGGAAACTCCTCGACAACCTCGACTTCGTTGCAACCGCGTATGGTAATAAATCCCGTGATTACCAAGTCCCGCGAGAAGCTGTACGGTTTGAGATCGTTGTCCAAGTCCCAGGGGGTTTTGGACATATACAGGAGCCTCGAGTGTCTCAGACGAAGAAGGAAGAGCTACCAGCGAGCCAAAACTGAAGACACGATACCAATTTTCAAACGGCTCGAACCAGGTATCGATCCATCTAACGCGTCTATCGCGACCACGTGTGATACCGACGATCGACTCTCCTACGACGACATTCCCAGTTTAACGGAGGCGAAGAAACGTTCCCAAGATGGAAATAAAGGCGCTTCGAGCACGGAGGAACTGGAATCAGAGGTCGCGAAGGATTTTAACGACCGATCGCCGGAAGTGGAATCCTCGAGAGAGCGGACTTTCGAGTCCGAGGAGAATTTCGACTCGTTGAAATCGATAGAATCGGACACGCTGACCGAAGATTCGGACGAAACGCCGGTGAGTCGCGAAACGGAGGGCGTAACAGGCAAACGACCCTGCCGCCGACAGCACTCGGACGCTTCCAGTCGTTCGAACAATTCCGGAACGTCGGACGACAAAGAGGATCGTTCTACCGAGTCAGAAACCGACGAACCCAAGTACACCGTCGCGCAACTTGTCTCTGCTTTTAACAAACACCAAGAGGTCGCTTCGAGGAGCAGCTTGGAAGCCATAATGACCGAAAAGAGAGTGAACGAGGTTACGTTTCCGACTGGAACGAAGGCTTTGAGGCTGTTCATACCGGACATCAACATCAGCGAAAGTAAAATCGTGAGGAGGAAAACGAGCTACAAGCCGCGGAAGAATTGGGAGGAGCTGAGGAAGAAAAACGAGAAAAACGAGGGGATCTTGAAGAACTTTGTCGATTCGGGTAACGAAGACGAGGACGAGGGTAACGAGAATCACGTGGAACAGTCTAACGGTGAAGGTGAATCGTCTTCGGACCGATGGTCGACTTTACCTCCGATAGAGATCAACGGAGACTCCATTTTCACGGAAATCACGGTTCAAGACGACGTTGATACAACGATAGACGAGAAGTACAAGCGGTGTGTGAAGGAAGCTAAATTAAACGCGACGGAAGCAGCGAATAACAAGTCCCGAAAGGCTGCTACACCTATCTCGACTTTCACCCGACAGAAAGAAAGACTGCCCAACTACATATATCCAGAAATGACGTGCCACATTAAAGAGGATCCTCAGGACTCGCCTAAGAAGACGACGAACGATAAAAGCAACTCTGAAATACAAAGGACGGAACGATCGAAGGCAACGTACAATACGGATTGCTGCGTCAATGTAAATCTAAAGGACATCTTACAAAGGGTAGACAGTTTTCAGAGTAATCCGAAGGAAAACTTGGAAAATCTGAGGAAAAGAACGTCGATCGCTAAAATAATCTTGAACGATAACCTGCCCTACGATAGTCCAGATAGGAACGACGGAGAGAATCGTACGAGCAGCAGAGCTCGAAGCGAACCACCTTCGTCTTTGTCTCCGAGGGAGGAAGACGAGAAAATGAAATTAGTCGTACCACCCTCTTTCGTGAGATCCTCGTCTCTGTCCAGTGACAGCAGCTGTCAAACACCTACCAGCGTCCATTCAGACGCGAACGTCTCCTGGGAAGACGTTCAGAATAGCAGAGGAGGATCGAACGTGTCCCTGGAGAAAGAGGATCCTGGCAAAGTTCGAAGAAGAAACGACGTTCAAAGAACATCGAGCGAAGGGAGAGGCAAACAATATCCGGAAGACAAAAGACTTTGGGGTAGAGTTTGCACAGGATCTTACAACAGAGCAATGGAGAAGTTCAATAAGAACAACGACGCGAACAAAAAGGCTGTCGGTCAGTTGAACGGATTGTCGCAGAGCGAAAAGACCAGAAGGAAAAGTAGCCCTGCCATGCCTCAATACATCAACCCGTAAAAATAGACTTGCCTTTCACGAAGACTGAATCTAGAACTTGGCCTTCCCTAATTACAGTGACTCAGGCCGCCGGAACAACGTGAACCGAACAGCGAAATTTCTCTTTTCGAAAAATACTTTGACGGATCAGGAACGAGATAATCGGTTCGCAACCTTGTCCTCGACAGACGTTCGCCAACTTCCGTCGCAATATCAGAGAATCGTCGTCGTCGTCGTCGTCGTCGTCTTCGTCGCCGTCGTCGTAGTGACGTACAGTCATTTCCTTTGACTGGACCATACTGACAGACGAATAATCTGCGAGCGTGTGTCATCAAATGGTCGAACGACAAACGGTAACCTGTCATTAACATCCCACCTGAGCGTCGCGTGGTCAAACAAGGCGATTGAACGTGATTGATCGTCATAGCCTTATCCTTGACTTAATCTCCATATTGAGCGATCTTCGAGAACTACTTCTTTTTTTCAAAGTGCGTAGTATCGATGGACACGTGGATACCGAGAAAACGAAGCAGCTGATCCCGACCAAAAAATGGTAATGATCGAACCACGAAAAAGGAAGTATCGATGGTGTCGATTTTAAATTCAAATCACACGGGAATTGAAAGCTGAGCTTAGCTCGTACAAAGAGCGCGATAGAAAATCGCGTTCGCAGAATATTGCTCACACACGAGATTATCTTTTTACGATACAACTTTGCCTCTACTAATTCTGCCTTTTTTCTTTTTTCTCTTTTCTCATTAGTGTTAGATTCAATTGGTGCGTCGAAAACGAGAACTCACAATCCGTTATACCGTAGTATACATATACATACAATACTTACAATTAGCGATCTATTAGAGCATTGTATCTTGTTTAGATTTTTCAAAGATTCTTTCAATTTTGTATCGAGGATATCTCAATAAAGACTCTCTTCTTCGTTAAACCCAACACCTTGTCCAAGTTTCAAAGGTAGAGGAAAAATAATTAGGATTGGTAAAATTAAATTTTATTATAATATAAAACAATTCGGCATCGTCGCTGTTATTTCGCATATTATCAGCGATAATAATTGATAGTATACACAAAATAATCGTAGCTTTGCGGTCGCGTAATTATTCCCATCTGCTCTTTCTCACCCTCTTCCTTTCTCCTCCGGTATTCACTGCTTGGTTATCTTCGTTTTTCGATTGTTCCGTGTTTGGTTTAGGTGGTACAGGCGGCGGCGGTGGCATTATCACCGAAGGCCGTGTAATCGTTTGTTCCCACGTGTGATCCGACGATGCCCGGAACTAAAATCAAATGCTCGTCCATTTTATTCTCTATTCCGCTACCACTTTCAATTGTTCGTAAACGAAACGAAACTTACCTGAGAATTATACTGACTGCGGAACGCAGCTTTCATGGCCGACAACCGATCGCTACCTGGCCCGTGTCTTTCTAATTTCTTAACAACTTCGCTTATATCTTTCGATCCCTGTGACGAGGAACCGCCACTCTAGAGGATAAAAAATAACTTGAAATCCTACCGACAGATTTCCGAGGAGAAAACCGAAAGAAAAGAAGGAATACCGATGTCGAAGAAGTATCAGGCCTTCCCCTGAAACCAAGACCAGCCCCTCCGACGTTTAAACTCTTCCCCTTTCCACCCTTGAACCTTGATTTCCTGAACCAAGCACTTTGCATCGCCAAGTCCATCAAACTCTTTGGTACCTCTTGATTAGCTCCCTCCAAATTTCGGACCAGGTGACCCGCGAATTCTTTATCTTTTTCCGTCACAAGGGTATACGCTGTACCCTTTTCACCCGCTCGACCTGTTCTACCTATCCTGTGTGTATGAGTATCGATGTCTCGCGCGACATCGTAATTAACAACGGTTCTGATATGTGGAATGTCCAAACCTCGGGCTACGAGGAATGAAAATGAACTTTAGAGGGACATCGGGCAAGGTATACGCGAATGTAGAGCGATCGTATAATTACCAGCGACGTCAGTAGCAACCAAAGTACTGACTTCCTTTTTTTTAAAAGCCGTAATCACTTTGTTCCTCTCGATTTGATCCATGTCACCGTGTAAGAGCAGAACGTCGAACTCTTTCAATTTAAGATTGTTCGCAAGTTCCTCCGCGTTGAGCTACATTGAAAAATGAAAAATGAAAAATTCACCGATCCTGGAGCATTACTAATTAGAAGTCGCGCGGCACGATTGCTGACCTTTTTAGTAACGAAGACCAATAAACTACCAGCGCTCAAAAATTCCACCAAATTTTGCAATAACCAGGACCACTTGCCGGTTGGATTATTGTTGAATACTATCGCGTGTTGAGTGACGTCAGTGTTCGCTTCACCGACGTCCCCTTGGACTATCCTAACCGGGTCCGTCAGAACGTCCCTGGCGAGCTTTTCTACCCTCTTTTTGAAAGTTGCGCTGAACAACAACGTTTGCCTGTCTGGCCTTACGTGGTTGCATATAGAACGCACCTGTGGCTCTGGAACCAAACAGAGCGGTAACAAGCAGAGTAAACGTATTATTAATAGAAGCTTCGTTCTAATTGCATGCTTTTTAAAAAGAAACACTCGGTTACCGAAACCCATATCGAACATCCTATCGGCCTCGTCCAACACGAGAAACGTAACTCTGGCCAAATTGGTCGCCTTCATTTTAACTAAATCTATCATTCTACCCGGCGTTGCGACTACTATTTCCGCACCCCCTTCCAACGCTTTACTTTGTTCCCATTTGCTGCCACCACCGTAACAGCAGCACACTTGAATGTTATACACTTTCCCAAACTTTCGCGCTTCCTGGTAAATCTACGAACACGCAAAAGAACCCAGTCAACTTACGTCCTAGAATTACACCTAAAACGTACGTACGATCGTCGGAAGGAATACAGCAAGGTTGTAAAATCAGCGTAGAAAACGATTCGAAGCTTAATCTCTCTTAAGATATAACTGATTTAATTTCCTTTCCCCTTCGCGATATTTCTTCCACCGACTATACCTTAAATTACCTTAACGTAACAAGTACCTGTTGGGACAATTCTCTCGTAGGAGCGAGAATCAGGCCGATAGGTCCGTCGCCAGCTTTTAATTCCGTTTGATCCATTATGTGGACCAACATCGGCCAAATAAAGGCCGCCGTTTTACCGCTGCCGGTCTTTGCTATACCTATTATATCCCTGCCGCTTAATGCAGCAGGAACTGCTTGAGCTTGGATAGGAGTAGGTTGGGTATATTCGTTTTTTCTAACAGCTCTTATCAACGCGTCGTCGAAGCCGAAATGACCGAAACTGGTGACGGGATTTGGCGGAGAGGGACCGGATACTTTTATTCCCAAGGTTTTCCTCAAATCGTCGATCTGTTGTTTACTTAAACTAGCGATCTCGTCGTGAACGTTGTAAAAGTTTTTCTCAAAGGATTCGTAGTGTATCTCGCTATGATCGATGGGTGGTAAGGGATCGATTTCTTTTTTCTTGGGGGGTGCGATAGGGTTCCCGTCCTCGTCGTACTCGATCTCTTGGTCAGACTCCTCTTGCTGCAAACCCGCTGTTGGATTTTCCTCCATATACCTTATTATACACGAACAACCCGATATTTCTCCATCCATTTCTCCCTCCAATATCACATTGTACCCCCTTGAACAAATATTCTTACCTATAGTAACTCTCTTCGTCGTCTTCACCGTCGATGTCCGCTCTGAACCCCTTTGATTTCTCTTCTTTACGCTCGTCTTCGGCCAGTTGAGCTTCGTAATTATTTCTCTTTACCTCCGCGTCTATGCCAGCCATAAACGCGTCCAACGGATCCTCCTCGCTATCGCTGTCGCCCTTCGGAGCCGATTTCTTCGTCCAATCGTAAGTAGGGGATCCCGGTGCTGGGATATATTCCAAAGAAAATGGTGGAGGGTCGTCGTCGTCCTCGAAGTATCTAATTTATACACGCGTTTTCAATCAAATCCGTTCCTTTCGTTCTCTCCACACTTATATATATGTATACATATACATATGCATACTCACTCTTCTTCGGTTTTGCTTCGTTTTTTCGGCATACCCCAGCACGCAGATAAGGCATTTTCGGTGATAGAATTCATAGTGTGATAGCCCTGTTTGCTTAGAGTCGAATTTGGTGGAGGTGGTGGTATGTTGGAGCCACTTCTTTTTGTGCCAGTCATTTGAAAGCCAGCAAACCCAAATCCTTTTGGCTTATTACCTCCTCCACGGTGATAACTCATTTTTATTTTCTAATCTGTTAAAATTCTGATTAATCGACAATCATTTTTTGCGTGTGGTCTTAACTTTTCTACTGCTGCTAAATGGAGTTAGACAGATAAGGAAATTTTCTATTCATAAGTTGGCCTACTTTTCAATTACAATTATAAATCGTGCGAAATTGTCGCAGAAGGGAGGACAATGATAAGATTTTTGTTATTCACAGGATGATACGTTCCAGTTCCAAAACACAAACATACATACATATGTAGAATATGACAGAAGTCCAAGTAAAAGATCTATCATTTTCCATTTATACCTATCGGAGCGACAAATGTGGTACAGAAAATGTAAGAACGTTTGGTTTAATATGTACGCGATATTGATGCAACGATATTAAAGAATAATCGAAAAATACACATATATTGTTTTCATTTGGACGCAAAGAAAGAGGTTAGAACACCTTCGTAGCTCTCTAATTTATTTTATAACGCTGAAATACGTGTTTTTTACGCGCAAGCACTGTACCACTACTTGGCCGGTATTTTAAGACGATTACGTGAAACGGGGCTACCTTACACAAATATCTTTCAAGAAGTTAATTCACATCTAACGAAATGCGACTCCAAATACTTCGATATCGAACGGTAAGGTACATACTGCAACAACTTAGACGGTGCTGCCTCCATGTGGAGGCTCCGCTATCCTAAATGACACTCTCCAGGCGAGAACGACCCAAAGGGAATCTATCTTTTTTCTCTTTTTTTCTTTTTCATCTTTTTTTCAGAAATACAATTCACTTTACAACTCTCGAACGTTACGAAAAAAATCTCGATACTGTTACCTCGAAAATTTCATTCGTAACGCGGCATTTGGAATAGAAAATTTAACGGTAAAATTTACAAGGTACCATTTTCTCATTCCTATTCGAGGATTAAACAACGACGATGGCTGATTATTACGTTTGAAACAGAAACCTGTTGCAAATTAATCGTGGTAAAATATCGATAATCATTACGGTTGGTGGAGCTACATTCAGGAAATAGATTAATTGCTCCGGGAGGCGTGCGAAAGGAAAGGAGTTTTGGCAGAATGTCGATTAGAAAGGGAGAAGACGTCGGGGAATAGGACGCGTTATTTTTCAACGCGTGTTCAACATCGCGACAATGTCGATTAAAAAAAACCTTCATTCATACTCTCGTGGTTGAGTGACATAAATAGTTCTATCACAGCTGAATCGATCGAATATCCGAGCCTGCGTGTTAACGGAGGCGCCATGCGACTTCTCCGTAGATTTCAGCGTCCGTCGTGATCTCGTTCCTCGCAGTTCAGACTTTCTCACAACCAAGCCGGATATCGGAAGAATTGTGAATACGAAAAGGACCGGTTGCAAGTAAGTAGAGGAATGATCTTCAAAATTGGCAATCAACGGAAACGCAACGCGTTCGCTCGAACGAATTTCCTCCCGAGTGTGTCCTTTATCGGTGCAATCGAACAGTTTCGCGTTTGATTCGTCGAACGCAAATGGGCAATTGCACTTGTAAAACGCGTTGCAATTAACGCGCACGCTGAACGCCGTTGCGTTCGTTGTTTAAGTGCAGAAATTCTATCTAAATTCTATCTAACAGAAATATCTTTGGCAAGATAAAATGCCGTCGGTTCGCCGGATGATCCTGGGACACGTCATGTCCGGCCTGTGTACCAAAATGAATCGCATGAAAAAGCTTCAAGGCGATTTACTCGAAACTCCGATGAAAAGATGCCTCTCGACGTTCGACATTACGTTACTCGGTAAGTATGCTTTTTGTGCTATTTTAATCGTAAGGACGTGCACGACCACGTCTCGCGATATCGCGTTCTCGTGCGCGATAAAGTAGTCCCCGTACACCGGAAAAATGTAAATTGCGTACGCCGTAAATAACGCGGTCAGGGAGGTATTTCGAGGAAAATTCGCCCGATACTTGTTCCTTTTGTTCAAGAACACGCGTTTATCTTTCAGGCGTGGGTCATATGGTTGGCGCTGGAATCTACGTTCTAACAGGAACGGTAGCTCACGACACGGCTGGTCCGGGTGTAATTTTGAGCTTTCTACTCGCTGGTCTAGCCTCTTTATTAGCGGCACTGTGTTACGCGGAATTCGGTGCACGAATTCCAAAAGCTGGTAGCGCTTACGTTTACACCTACATTTCTGTCGGTGAATTCTGGGCCTTCGTGATCGGATGGAACATTATATTAGAGCATATGATCGGTAAATTGATTTTCTTTAGGTTAAAATTTCTTCGACCCGGAGTGAGTATCACGAAGATGTTGCTAACTATTAATAGGCGCTGCGTCCGTGGCCAGAGCCTGGAGCGGATACGTCGATTCTTTGGTAGGAGGATCAATCGGCAATTATACTCGTCACATAATGCACGGGTACACGATGGGCGAACCGCTGGGAAGTATTCCCGATTTTCTAGCCGCTGGACTCTGCCTAGCTTACGCGATGTTGCTGGCACTAGGCGTGAAATGTTCAGCAACGGTTAATTCTTTACTCACCATCGTGAATTTAGCTGTGATGGCATTGGTAATAGGATTGGGAATTGCTTACGCGAAACTCTCCAATTGGAGCGACGAGAACGGAGGATTTTTACCTTATGGTTTTAGCGGTGTATTGGCAGGTACATATCCCTTTACTCCTGATTTCATTTTCGAAATTGCGTCGTTCCCCTTCTAAAACAAAGTCACCGTAACGAAATACAGGCGCTGCAACGTGCTTCTACGCTTTCGTGGGTTTCGATTCCATCGCAACTTCCGGCGAAGAGGCCCGCGATCCTGGATACAGCATACCTCGGGCAACTCTCTTCTCGATGGCGATCGTCACCATAGGATACGTGTTGGTCAGTGCGGCTTTGACCTTAGTCGTACCACATTGGAGCATCAATCCCACAGCAGCTCTTCCCGAAGCTTTCTCCTCGAGAGGAATATCATGGGCGAAATACGTGATAAGGTTAGAAAGTGAAACGTTGAAACTTGGAGCGATTCTTTTTTCACACGAAAATACGCACAGTGTTGGAGCTTTGTGCGGAATGACGACAACCCTCTTCGGGTCCCTGTTCTCTCTGCCACGAACAATGTACGCGATGGCGAACGACGGTCTTCTCTTCGGTTTCCTCAGCCACGTCAGCGAGCGTACCCAAGTTCCGGTCCTCAACTTGGCCATCAGCGGTTCCCTCAGTGCCTTGATCGCCTTACTCTTCGATCTCCAGCATCTAGTCGAATTCATGTCGATCGGTACTTTCTTGGCCTACACCATCGTCTCGGCAAGCGTGATTATTTTGAGATATCGTCCAGAGAAAAATACACCTGCGCCGTCGAACGTTGGAACACCTAGTAGTTTAGCCTCACCTCCCACGGAGGGTGCCGATTCCAACAGCGATTGTAACAGCATCACATCCGCAGAATCTGAAGTATTATATTACCAATGCTACCGAAGCGGTAGAAGAAACTTCATCGAGGTCTTATCGTTTCTTTCATACTTTCCAGATGTTAGACCTGAGCGATGCCACTGGTAAACTGAAGCCACGATACGTCTGGTTAGCAAACTTTTTGGGCAACTGCAAGCCTGGAGATGCCGTGACCGGTTGCGTAATGATTTATATAGCTGGATGCATTTTTCTCTGTCTCCTATTGATACTGATAACCCAGACCTACTTTGCTCCAGCATGGTGGGATTATTTTGTTCTTGCGAACGTTGTGCTCTTGCTGATCGGATGTGAGTGTCCAAGTTTTTACTCGTGTAAGAACGTTTGTCAACTGATCGAGAATAATTGCAGGTTTGTTCGTTATCGCTGCGCATCAACAAACACAATCCAATGGTAAATTCCGCGTGCCCGTAGTGCCGATAGTACCAGCCCTGAGTATCTTGTTCAACGTTGGATTAATGTTCCACTTGTCCCTTTTAACGTGGTTACGATTTCTCGTCTGGATGGTAGTTGGTAAGTGAACATTCTCGTCGCACGCGTAACGCCTGCCAATTTCTTTCGCTTCTTCCTTTCTGCAGGGATGTTGATATACTTCCTGTACGGGATTCACTACAGCAAAGAGGCCGCCAGCCCTAATACCTATTCGATTTTAATGGCAACTTCGGAAGCTGGTCGGGGCGCAAAGTGGGGTGCTACGTTACGAGTGAATCAGAAGAGCGACAAGGTTCCAATTCTCAAACGCGGAATCTAAGTAAAATGTTATAACGTAGAAACGTGGGAAATGTCTGAGAATTTGACCATTGTTGTCTTACATACGTAATAGCTTTGAATTAGACATGAAAGTATCGAGGGGATCTTTGTACATACTAATCTCACGTAAAATGTTAAGTGGAATTATGTATACATATACTTATACATATATGTATCCGTTTGAAGACAGCACTGTCTTTGAAAATTAAGCGGCTGAACGTTGGAGGGATTTGAAAGTGGGGCAAGACTGTGTTTCATTGGTACCTGCTTTCAACTGATTTTCGATAGAATTTCAGGATTCAGTTGGAACGTAGCTCGGTCTTCTTTACATTTTCATTGCGCACAACTGAGTACCAATTTTTTTTTTATATTTTACAGACGTAGGTACACTTGTTCTCGATATAGGTACCAGTACCAATAGCAGAATTGGACCGTCTCTGAGGGAAAATATCATATTCTCGGTAACCTGATTTTTAGACGCGGTCATCTGGTCTGCAAAAATCACCAAGGATCCAAAAGCGTGAAAAGTAACGGACAAAATGTAGACGCACGTAAGCGACGGGCAAATTATGTCGAACCTGACGTTACAATCAAAAATGAAAATATTTCAAAAGAAAGGATAGCAAATGTATTTTTAAAGACCAGATCATGAAAAGGCAGGCGGAACGATGGTTGGTTTGAACGTTCTGCTTGCATGGATCGAAACATGGTGCCTTGGGAACGGATAGACTAATTATACAGTAAGATATACGAATCTAAAAGCATGACAATAGATTCGCCTACTATACGTGGCGGGCATTAAGTTTAAGATTATCTATACACGGATTTGCTAAGCATGTGGATTGCTCGGTGGCGTATCGTCTTCGATACGTGGCGTATCGTCTCTGGGGTTGACCGTTCCTAATCCACCAATTTATTCACGATCTCCGTATCTGAAATTACCAATCCATTTCTCAGCAGATCCAACGAAGGATCGATTTAAACCGTAGCAGATAATATATAATCGATGTTGATGTCTTAAAGGTTACTACCGTCAAAGTGCCGTAGATGTTACATAGTTGAAAAATATCGTAGCAGACACTATAACCACGTGTATCACTTTGGACGAAACGACGCGACGTATGCGTGTCCTTTTCTTATATTCGCTTCCTGCCTCGAACAGTGCAGATTTTCCATAATTCGTCCAAAGTGATCGATCTTTCGAGTAGCGGGAGAGGTCGTTGAATCGGGACACACTACAGAACATGTTACGCTTAAAGCAGGACACGGATATTTTCTTCCGGAGTAAGTTGAAAGGTCTTGGCCGATTAGATAGTATACCCGTCAATGAACGCACGAATACGTACAGAATGCACATCGCGATCGTGTACGTGCTGTTAATTGTATATAAGAATGGTACCAAAATTATTCTCAATGTTCTGTACTGCTGTATATCTTCTAATATAAAACTATTTGTCATCGAAAAATCGATAATTCGTCTAACGTTTTACACCAGCAACGTAACATTTCCAAAACATTCCCCGAGCGACATATTTCTAACAACACCGCCTAGAAATATCGAGTTTCAAAGTTCTTTGATTTTGACGTAAGACCATTAATAACGCAGTATGGCAGAGATTTACGAGCAAATACGACGGTATTAATGGAGATAAAAGAGCGAACCTTACACTTGAGAGTTTTAGAAGGAATTTCGAAATCGTAACAAGAAGGTGCAAGCAACATGTTCGTGAAACTAATTCTGGTCGCAACGATGTTTAGCTTGGTACGGGCACGAACCGTCGAGGCTCGTGAAGTTCAACATTTATCGTTATTCGGTGACCCTCGTCCTGACTCTATCGTCGACACTGAATCAACCGTAACTGTAAATACCTCGTCACTTTATTTCTTACATAATCTTCTTTTGAAACAAGAGAAGACGACACTTTAATGGAAAACCAGTTGAGATTTAACGCAGCAACGTAAATCGCAGAAGGAACGGCGCGCTCCTCTGATAACAACGAACGCTCCAACTGTGGATGTACCAGATCCCAGTCACGAATCGACGCACCCGGCATCGAAGCATCCAAATAAAAGGGAAAATAACAATAGGGATGATCGTCAGACCGATCTACGGCCAGGATGTTGTGGATAATCGATAGGTGAAGGAAATTTCGACGATGGACAAGTATTACCTTTGGCTTTTTTCACAGTATAATAGTAAATAAAATAAATCACCGGCTATCATGCTGCGACAAATATAATTGGAAAACTTTTCTTCTTATTCTTCCTATCGCGGAAGAGATATAAAAAAGGTAAAGCAAAATGTTTCATATGTGGAAAACTTTTATTAACATCGTTTATTCGTACATACTAACTGACAAGCACTGCGAACGGTCGTCAGTTTTAATCGTTAAATCATCCGTGTCCAGTAAACAGTACAGTTATGCAGTATGTTACATACGTTGCATCGTAACTAAAAATCACTAACCTTCACGGAAGGACGAAAATATAAATAGGAAAAGGCAATTTATAGCTGTATATATTTTAGTAATTTCACAGAGTGAACGCGCAGTTTCACATTATTATTGTGCTAATTACACGAGAGGATGTCGTACAAAAGTTCGACAATCATCGCACGTTGTACTTGCGACTTGTCATATTAAAAAAAATAAAGTTAAACGAGAGATAGAAAGAGAGAGAGAGAGAACCGTGAAACCGGAAACATTCGTTTCATGCTGCGTTAATAAAATTGGAACACTTGGTAAATGTGCGGGAAATCACCCAGGCACATAGCCGACACGCGTTCAGTATGCGCATATTTAATTTGTACAATTTCATAATAATTACAGGTACCGTATCCACAAAGTTACAACGTTGATTCAATACTGTTATCTGTTCTGCTTAGAAATGATCACTTTCCAAGCAGATATCGGTCTCATTTGTATCACGTCGATCTTTCGTCGTCCCCACCTCAGCCAGGCGAATCCTACGATTAGACATAGAATACTTTCTATGTAGTACCCGTCCAGTTGCATGTTACAAACACCGTTGTGCGTGTTCGCGCAAAGCTGAAAATAAAAATGTTGCATTTTCAAGTTCCTCTCGTTAGAAAGTATGTAGTTGCTGTTAGAAGGAAAAGATCGACGCCAACCTCTCTTTTCGAAATTGTGCTACAATCGTTCGACGGATCGGTGCTGCATTGTCGAAGCGTTAACGAATCAACGAACCAAAGAGCTGCCGTTGCTGGCCAATTACCTCCGAGATTCGATAAAGTGTTCAATAATGTCATGTAAGTGCCACCCACCGCTGGATCGCTAATTTTTGCAAAGAACGCCATTGAAGCTACGAACATACTGCTCGTGAAAACCTGAGACAAACGGAAATAGCTTAAGTGTATTTATTTTCGCTTACCGTTACTCTCCGAATTATCGTCCGGAGTATCGTGTCACTTTACCTGATGTATCAAATATAGACCTATTAAAACTATAATGTAGTAGGCTGGGACTTGGCCACCTGTTACAATATACGGTGTCACCCATACCAGAAATGCTGCCACCAGACCAAAAGCTAATCTAAAGAATCAATTGAATTTAATATTTCGATATATACCCTTTGTAGAATATCGCGCTTCGTACACCTGCGTTTTAATCACCTAAAAGGCATGGCCATTATGTAGACGTCCATAGGTCTTGGACCAACTGTATACTTCGAAATTGCTAATGGTAGTAATATTTGCAACGGTATCATAGGTACAGCCATGAGTACAAACTTTTCCTTCGGTATACCAGCTTCTACCAGCTTCAAACCTGTTACAGCATCACAAGCAGAAAACCCTATCTGCATTTGATACGACGCTAAATTATTATTAAGGATGGTATAAACAAATTCTACGGTGTAATGTAAATCTTCTGACCTTTGCAGTTAATAAAAATATAATAATGGCTTTTACAGATGGTAATTTGACAATATTCCAAAGTAATCTATACGCATGTTTAATATCTGTATTCAATTCCCCATCTTTGTGCATTTTCTCTGAATCTTCGTGTTTGAACAGTGCAAGTAAAGTGGTGGCAATTATAAATATCCAAGCCCAGAAATATAAAAAATCTACAGGAAAGAATAGCGATGAGCTATAACTGTGATACTTTTAGAACACGCGTTAAAGTTTAAGCTAATTTACCAGGTAGAGTTAAAATGCCTTCGTTTGAGGGTGTTGATCTTAAGTAGCTGTTACAAAATTCAGCAGACTCTAATGCCATAAAGAGCACGTAACCAATGAAGAATCCAGCAGTTTGTCCCACACTGTTACAAGTCGATGCATAACCCACGTTGCACCTGAATGTACAAAGAAAATGTACAGAATATTTATCGGTGTTCTATTACTTTGTAAATGTGAAATCTATACCTTTTCAACATAGTAAGAGCCCATCCATCTACCACGATATCTTGAGTAGCAGCCAAAACGTTCAAAGCGAAAAATATTATGGTCAACATTCCTATGTTTGGTTTTGTATTTTCATCACCTAACCATCTGTTTACATGACTGGATAACAACAGCATGAAAAAACCCATGAAATACTGAGTTGGAATCAACCATGTTTTTCTTCTTCCAAACTTTTGAGAGAACACAGAATCTACTATCGGTGCCCAAAAAAGTTTCAAGGAAAATGGCCATTGTACAAAACTGAATTCAGCCTAATGGTAAAAGAAAATTTATGTAACGTCACGTTGATCGCGTTTAAAACAATCGTAATCTTACGAATTACCTGCTGACGATACGAAACGTCTCTGTTCTGAAGTAACATAGGAATTGAATTGCATAAACCCAATGGTATTCCTTGCAACAGATATAAAAACAAAAGTATAGCTATATTTTTTTCGTCACCTCGTAAATCCGAACGTTCGTGCACGTGATTCGACTCGTGGGCCCCATCCTCCACGTTGTCATACTTTTCCATTTTCCTTCTAGTACCCATGTGGAATGATAAAAGTGATCAACAAAAGTCGTATGCACCTTTTAAAATCGACTTTTACTCTAGGCTTCTCTTACACAGTCGAGCCCCGACAGCTTTCCAAATCGTTAACGCTTACTTTTAACAACACTATTAAACATCTCGTCGCTTAGATAGTGCTTATCGATACACTATCGTAAAGTACGTCCACCGTGATCCTTCGATCGAACGAGATATGTGCATTTCTTAACGGAAGAACCATTTACGCGATAACAAAATGAATTATTTATGTTGTGACAGAAGTATCATCATTCACGTGGTCAACGTTGATAAAATCTTAATACTACGAGAAAACGTATAGAAAACGGTGTTACACTTGTACCAGAGATTCTGACAAACAATATTCCCAGAGAAGTATGTATGTATTTCTTTTTATATTTGCATTACGAGTGACAGACGTCCGATTGCATTTCAAACTGTTTTCCTGCCATTCGCTTTGCTTCGAATCATGTAGATGAATTCACAATAGCTTCCAGTTGCCACGTTGTTTCTCATTAGGGACACGTCAGTTCTACCGTGTCGTTTTCAATCTTACATACATACAATCACGTGTAACCCGTTTATAACTAAAACTACCGATTTTATAGAGTTACTACAAACCGTCCACGATTAAAATTCTCCGGGCGACTCTTCAACGAATTTAATTACTTGCAAACCCGCCTTTTATTCCGTACCATACTTTCCTACCGTTCAATTACCATCTCGGTTATGATTCAGCTTATTATCATCGATAGAATCAAATATTATCTGGTTGGATGATTTTTCAAATAGAATGCACGGACTAAGCAAATCAAAATTCATCTCGGGATTTTTTCGATTTTTTTCATATGTATACCTTCCTGACGGTTTCCCGGACTTTGTTTAGTTAATTTTGCAATGAGTTACTTGCAAAAGGAACTGGAATTAGTGTATAAGGGAGTAATAAATAGACTGGTAATATTGTAATTTTTTGTAAAATACATTTTATACACATATCTTGCAATAAATAATTGATTTTGTTATAAACAATTGTATTTCTTCGTTGTTCTTAATGTTTAAATGGTTTCCCTGATTTCTATGGTACCTTGGAAGCTCTATTTGTAATTAATACGAAAAGAACAATAATTAATACGTATAGACAAGGATAGCAATAATGGGGTGTGTTAAAGCGTGCAGCAAATTGTTACGATACTTCCAATAATAATAAACCACCATCTGAATTGTTATTTAATAAGAAACATTAATTAATCTATAATAAAACTACTTGAAAATAAAACAGAAACTTTATTTTACTATCTATATTATCAAGAATTGCTTATAAGTATCGATTAAATACAATGGGGACAACGAGGATAGCAATAACGAAGAGAGAAAGGGAAAGGAATAGCGGTAGATAAGGATAGCACTAAGCAATGAGTAAGACAAGGAGAGCAATAGGGATAGACAAGGACAGAAAAAACGGCGGTTCGGACTAACGCCATCTCGCGTTAGGTGACGCGAACTACCATTTCTTAATAGGAAAACATGATATAAACAGAGGTATTAGACAAAGAAAGCACTAGTGTGCGACAAGGACAGAGAGAGAACGCTTCCCATTGGCTGGCGGGCCGCCATGTTCCGCTTCTCGGGGCCTCAGCTACGTGGTCCGGTGAGAAATCGTTAATAACTCAATAATTAGGACGATTTCGTGAACTTTTAATATTGAAGAATGAAGCGTGAACCTTCAGAAACTTTCACGTATAATTTTTAAGGCTCTAGAACCTTTCGATAATTAGTTATTAATATTAATATCGGGACCGATACGGCGATCGCATACGCCACACCAAGTCGGACAGAGAGAAATCATTAATAACTCATTAATTGCGATGATTTTGTAAACTTTTGGTATTGAGGAATGTAGTCTGGACCTTCAGCAACTTTCTTATGTCAGTTTTAAGATCCTAGGACCTTTCAGTAATTAGTTATTAATATTAATATCGGGACCGATACTGAAGTCGCTTTCGCATCACCAAGCCGGTCGACGAAAAATCATTAATAACTCGATAATTAGGACGATTTCGTGAACTTTTAATATTGAAGAATGAAGCGTGAACCTTCAGAAATTTTCACGTATAATTTTTAAGGCTCTAGAACCTTTCGATAATTAGTTATTAATATTAATATCGGGACCGATACGGCGATCGCATACGCCACACCAAGTCGGACAGAGAGAAATCATTAATAACTCATTAATTGCGATGATTTTGTAAACTTTTGGTATTGAGGAATGTAGTCTGGACCTTCAGCAACTTTCTCATATCAGTTTTAAGATCCTAGGACCTTTCAGTAATTAGTTATCAATATTAATATCGGGACCGATACTGAAGTCGTTTACGCAACATCAAGTCGGACAGAGAAAAATCATTAATAACTCGATAATTAGAATGATTTTGTGAACTTTTTGTATTGAAGAATGAAGTGTGAACCTTCAGCAACTTTCACGTATAAGTTTTAATGCTCTAGATACTTTCGATAATTAGTTATTAACAATTTAGTACGGGAAGTCGGGAACGATACCGCATACCGTCAAGTATCTTCACGGTTTTTCAATAATTTCATAGTTTTCCCCTAAATTCTCATACAACTGACTACATGCGTTTGAAAGGCAACTTATTTAGCTACATTCCCATATAAGTTTTATTACCATATTCCGTTTAGTTTACCCATTATTAAATTTTATATGGGTGAGTTCCCTACGCATCGTATTCGAGTATAGTCAACTGTTATAAACAATTGCTAATATCTAATAAACCACATAACTTACGGCTACCAGACCAATTGCAGAATATAGATAGAAGTCCATTCTACATTCTGCATACTTAAAAGTGTACAATTAGGTACGCATTTTTATTGAAATAACGAATATGTGTTACGCTTGAATGCTACGGGTGGTGTACTCACCCAAAGAATATTCGATAACTATCGAACCATAAGGGATATATTAATAAAAATTCCAGAAGAATGTAGCCTCAAGTGTTCCCTTTCCAACACATACGATAATTGGACTAGAAATCAATACTGAAAAATGATATTAATGAAAAACCTAAGGTACTGTCGTATTGTTCCCGACGATTCGCATAACAAATATTAATAACTAATTATTGAAAGAACCTACGGCTTTAAAATTTATATGTGAACGATCCTGAAGGTCCACACTTCATTCTTCAATACTAAAATTTCACAGAATAATCGTAGTTATTGAGTTATTAATAATTTTTCTCTGAACAACTTGATGTTGTGTAAGGGACTGCCGTATCGTTCCCGATATTAATATTAATAACTAATTATCCAAGGGACCTAGAGCCTTAAAACCTATATGTGAATGTTGCTAAAGGTCTACACTACATTCTTCAATACTAAAAGTTCACAAAATCGTCCTAATTATTGAGTTATTAACGATTTTTCACCGGACCACGTAGCTGAGGCCCCGAGAAGCGGAATATGGCGGCCCGCCAGCCAATGGGAAGCGGTCTCTCTCTGTCCTTGTCGCACACTAGTGCTTTCTTTGTCTAATACCTCTGTTTATAACATGTGTTCCTATTAAGAAATCGTAATTCGCGTCACCCAACGCGAGATGGCGTTAACTGAACCGCCATTTTTTCTGTCCTTGTCTACCCCTATTGCTTTCCTTGTCTAACTCATTGCTTAAATGCTATCCCTATCTACCGCTGTTCCTTTCCTTGTCTAACTCGTTTCTCTGGCGCTATTTTAAATAACGAATTAATTTAATACTTCCAGTAATTATAAACTACTATATAAACTGATATTTAACAAGAAATACTAATTATTCTATAACTAAAGTACTTGAAAATAAACCAGAAACTTTATTTTACTATCTGCACTATTAATAATGTCAAAGCAATTAAAAATTTATTAGAAGTATGTATTTTAATCTGCTTGGTATGTGCAATTATGCTCTAATTTATAATAAATATTATACAAAGCGAAAAGTTCAAAAAATTCTCATTTTACTGTAATAAAAAATACGAGAACCTTATTTTTCATTTGTGGGTGATTCATCCCATGTGTGTGTTCTACTGCTTTCTGGATATCGTCAATGTTCTATCCACGCAATCCAATATACGTAAATATCAATACATGCAAATTTAATAAAGAAGGATTCCTTTATTTCTGCCGACTTTAGCATCTTTGATGGTTTGACGGTATGCAATTCCCAAACTCACCAATTTATATTTCATCAAAATTCGTACCATTCTTTGATAAATAAATCTTGCAACGCCTGGTAGAATAGTTTCCTCGTGTATCGAGAGATAATATATTATCGATTAGAGTTAAAAAGCTTCTGACTTTATCAGCTGATGGTAAGGATAGTTCAAGCGATGATAATTCAACGAAAGACGAAAATTTCCACGGTGTAAAACTATTTTCATGCAACGACAAAATCTGGAACCGAATGTTAAAGTAATCGTTATTTCTACGCAGTAAAGAATAATTTTCCGCGGTTGAAAAAGCTTTCGGTTAAAAGAAAATCTGTAAGAACATTCGACGAAAGAAACTTCACTGATCGACCAAATTGTTTGCAGTTCTTTTATTTAAATATGACAAACAAGGAATTCGGAAACAAACAGTTTAGACAGCTTTGGATCCTCGTGTTCACGAATTGCTGTTTTTATTAAGTATGTATATTCTTCTCAAGACGATTCTATTAGATAAAGACCTTAAACTCTAAAGCTTAATTCGAGCTAGAAAATGCGATTTCTTAAGTGGTTCTATTTACAGTATGATATAAGTCCATCTGTGATCTAAACACATATAATCGTAGACACATGAATTTTTTTTTTTTCTTTACGTGTACAAACCTTGACGTACCTAACAAGATCATATTTCCTTTCACTTCTCGTCTTCTTCGTCCTCTTTTTTTTTTTTTTCTTTTTTCTTTTAAGCATATACAAACGATGTCAGTCTTATACAAAGAAATTACAGTGAAAAATGATAACTCTCGTTACTTACAAATTACGACTACTTATAAATCGACAAATTGCTATTCTCGCTACCCTTTTTTTTTTTCGTTCAAAAAAAAAAAAAGGTCGATGAAACAGTTCAGAGGTTTGGTTTTTCTTTTAGTAACACATTTAATTTCTTCGGTAAAATCGGTACATTTTTACAAGGCAACTTATCATACAATACTTAATAAAATAAATCCAGACAAATAAAGGTTTCTTTTTTCCCTAGGAATTTCTCTTTCACTTCTTCTTCAATTGTGATCTAAAAGAGCTCGGATTCGCAGTTTATTTCACTTCTGTTTTTCTCTGAGTGGGGTGTTTTGTTTCTTTAAAGAACTTCCTCGTTTTCATACGGCACAGGATAATACTGAACAATTCGAAATCGTTCGAGGAACAACCAAGTTCAAACTCGAACGTTCTTTTTTTTCTTTTTCTTCCTCCTCTCTGTATACATCGTTTTATTTTTTCACCTTTCTTTTTTGCTTTTTTAAAAAATAGATTTTCCCGCGTTCCAATCAACGACAATGTGACTCGAAATAATTTCCCGTTCGACTGCTTACACGTGTTTCCGTGTGCAGAAATTTTGAGTGAACACGTGCAACGTAAGACGCGAATCGACATCGTTTTATCCGCGAAACAGAAGAAGAGAGGAACGTAAATTCGAAGCGACGAAGAAAATATTCATTCAGCACTGTTCACTCGATACTCTCTTCTCTAATCTGATATGATCGCGCTGGGGTTCGTCGTTAGTACGTCTTTCAACACAACCAACGCGACTGACAAACTTTCTTCTCGCTTGTGGCAAACTAACAAGAAAAGAAAAAAAAAAAAGAAGAGAAAAATAATCGCTTCGCGAAGTATTATCTGGCCGATAAAAATAGCGAAGATTTCGTCGATCGAACCGGTGACAGGTAATAATAATCGCTAAATTCCCGTTTCCTTTCTACAACGCTCGTTACGGAAGAAAGAAAAATCGAAACGCTATCGTCGATCGTCTCGTTCTCGTTTCTTCTTTACAGACCTATCCGAAATATACAACAAACATAACAGGGAACGTTTAAACATGTACAATATAGAATATTCGCAAGGTAACAGGCGGCTACTATACAAAAAAGGCGAAAAACAGAAAAAGAAAAAAGAAAAGAAGAAAAACGAAAGAAAACCACGATGCTGCTGTGGTTGCCTGCTGCTGCTGCTACTATGTGAATCGACTTTGAAAGAGAACATCGTGTCCACTCGAAAATCGATCGATCAAACCGTCTTTCTTCCCTTATTTTTGTTCCTTTGAAATTTTTTATTCACGACACGACCGTGATACGAGATAAAACGAGAAAGTGTCTTGGTTCGAGCTGCCGGCTCGTTGAGAATCGACGGTCGTCGCATATATTAGCTTGTTTTTCTTTATTCTCAAGAAATTCGAGATTTGAAAATTGTAAAAGTTAAATGCAGCCGGGATACGCGCAACGCATTGTGTGTACGTACGTGTCTGTGTAAACGTGTGTGTTTCAATGTGAGCGTGTCTGTGTATTTTTGGTAGTGTATTTATATTTATATTTATATATATAGACTTTTATATACCACACTATCGATAAACTCATTCATCCGCAGAGTGACGCAAATATTCGCAAATCCCTAATGCCTCGACGAGTTTCCTCTTCTTCTCTTTTCTTTCTTTTTCTTCTTTTTCCGTTTCAACTATTTACAGGAGAGTCTTCGCTATGTTATATCGAGTCCTTAAATCCGTTATACACAATACATGTAGACTTAGATTAGCAATAGTAGCATTACGCGAAAGCGAGCCCAAAACGGCACCGGCCGTTCGCCATTTTCTCTTTTCCTTTCCTCCACCTCTAACACATTTCTTTTCCTCTTTTCTCTATCGTCGGTTCGAATTTGCCAAAGTATCCAATGCTCGGTGACGCACGTGACGATGCACACACTCACATGTACGCGTTCCTCATTTCATCCCCTTTCTCACTCTCTCCCTCTCTCTCTCTCTCTCTAAATCGTAAGAAAACTTTCTCGGAGATGTCGGAAATTAAAAAAACGAAAAATTGATCCAGAAAAATGTGGAATTTATTACAATCGAAGGATTCTTTCGTCTCCTTTTCTTCTTTAATTACTTGGGAGAAAACTTAAACGTCCTAAGCTAACTATGTTACACGCGGAATGGACAGAGCGTCTACAGCACACGCATACGCAAGGAATGAAAGAAAATTGCAGAATGATCGCGACTAACAGCCGTCGTCGTTACCAAAACCAGTTCGAGCGACACCGAGGGTTTCAAAACGAGAACCACGACGAGAATACGTTTAATCCGTTGATTAAAAAGAGAATAGAACGACTCGATACTTCTCGTCCTGCTAATATTACTAATTACAGCCGCGTTAATATAGACTGTTCGGCGATTAATATCTTTCTTAAACGGAAATGAAACGTTTCGTATCTGTCGGAGAGACGAATATCGACAGTGTCCCTTCTCTATCGGTCGATGTCTTCCCTTTAAAAAAAGAACATCGCTACTCTGTCGCTCGATTAAATGCTAGAGAACGAACAAAGAAAAGGAAAAGAGGAAAGAATTAGAAACGATCTATATTTCTCTCTCGCCTTTTACTCGTCACTGAAACACACACACGCACACTCGTGCACACGCGCAAACATACACACACGGTTTTTCTTCTTTTTGAAGACGTCGCCGCAGCGACGGAAGAGTCTCATTTTCGCGTCGAGCAATTAATTATTATTACCCTGACAATTAACGGAGGCCCGATCTCTAAAACCTATCTACACGTTCGGGTGAACGAATTTAATTTACAAAAATATTACAAACAAACGTACCTGCCGTGCCTGGCCACGGGTTCGAACGGAATAATATCACACACGAGATCGTCTCCCAAGTCGCTGCGGCGCGACTCGTTTATTATATCATATACACCTGTTGTCGCGTCAACGACCACTGAAATAATAAATTAGAATTCTGATATACCCGATATTATGTGCCGCAACACACGCATACGCGCAGGTATCCTAAACACATCCCTGTACCGACCTGAGCGCGCTTTCGACTTTAAACCATTTTTTTTTCCTTTTACCGCGTCTCTCTGTATTTTCTGTGTGTCTCGTGTGTTTTTTTCTGTTTTTTTTTTTTCGTTTTTCCTTGTGTTTCCATCTTCTTCTCAAAAGGGGCCTCTCGAAGATCGACGAATACAGCCCCCTCTCCAAAAAAAAAAAACAAACAAACAACAACGATTGCTTTTGTTTCGCCATTATTAGCTTCGCGTTTTCTTCTTCTTCTTCTTTCTCTCGTATTTGTTCCTCTTCTTCTTTCTTTCTGGACGCGACGACGGTTCGAACTTCCGTCGTGTCCACCGTGTCCCTTGTCTTTCATTTCGTTTCTTTTCTTTGCTTTATTTCTCTCTTGAAAATTTCGGAACCGAGCTTGATTACGACTGTTGGGTACCTGGGAGCGGAAGGGTTGAAAGGGGTTTATTTTCTTTTCTTCTGGATGGAGAACGGAGAACAGGGCCATCGACATCTAATTTTTCCTTACAATTTCCGAGATACGTATACGTATTAATATTATGTATATGTATATGCATATATAGTTTATTTTTAATTTATTTATAAGTGCGTTCGCGGCGTCATCCGCCGTGTTCATTTTTTTCTTCTTCCCGTAACGCTGTCTCTGTCGTCCTCGTTCTCGTTTCGAATTGTCCCGCATCGTGGCTCGAGCTATTCGAGAACGAACGAATATTCTCTCTCAGGCGAGTCGATAAAAATTTCACAGGCACGCGTGTGTGCTCGTTTCTATCGTCGACGTTTATGATCGTCGGATCAGGAAAACTAACTTACGATTACGTTTCCCCTAGACACTATACAGCGAGCGGTGAACGAAGTAGCGAACGGGCACGCGGGAAATTCGCACGATCTCTTAACTTTAAGGTTGTCTGATATAAGAAAGTATCCCTTTCCTTTGTATTACGACAGATTCTTTTTTCTTTTTCTTTAATTATCGAGAAGGATATATTTAACACTAAAAACGTCAGTCGTTCCCGCGCGTACCCGATACACCGGCCCACCATCGCACTTTTTATTCCCTAAACTTTAACTCCAGCCTTCGATACATTTCCTCTATCGTCGTTTACTTATTATCATTTTTCGTGTAGCGTTCTGCGTGCTCTTTCTAAACGGACTCTCTCTTTGCTACACCGTTAAATTTTCGAAAAAATCCACGATTTTCCCACGTAGGTAAGTATCAAAATTAGCGGAACGATATTTTCTTTCTTTCCAATTTTCCATCGAACGAGAAAAAGTCGACACGCAGAACGCGTTGCAATTGACACACGCGTGCCACAGAGAGAGAGAGAGAGAGAGAGCACACCGATACCAGAGAACTGAGAAACGAGGATCTACGAGGACAGAAGAGACAGCGCTGTGTTTCCCCTCTTTTTTCCCCATCGATCATCGATTCATCTAGCGTTTATTCGTCGAAACTCTGTTCGCGGATGCAATTCGTTTTATTTCCCTTCCTCAAAAATTTACTCGCTAATGCAATGTACACGAAAGAGAGAGATAGAGAGAGATAGAGAAAGAGAGAGAGAGATAATATGTATATGTATATATTTATGTATATGTATATTTAGAGATATTAACCGCGGTTCCGAAAAAAGAAACAAAACGGACTTTGGAGAACGTAAAAGAAACATCGTTGTTCGCAAATTGCTTGAGTAAGGATATGGATCGAAGGATCGCGCCGTTTTATCACGATATTTTCGTCGATTCTCGCTCGACGAATCTTCTTTTTTTTTCCTATTTTCGTCGCGATCGTTCACGCACAGCGTACGTTTTTCCTATTCGTTCATATTCATCATCATCATCATCATCATCTTCTTCTTCTTCTTCTTCTTCTTCTTCTTCTTCTTCTGCTTCTTCTTCTTCTATTACTTGTTTGACTTTAAAAGCCGCTTGATAAAACGTATCACGGCTTTGGATATGATAAATGGGGATTCTCTTACGAAGGAGGAGTGGAGGGTTGGATGGTCCTAGGGGCCTTTCATCGTCTTCTTCGTGTCTTCTTCATCGTCTTCTTCTTCATCTTCTTCTGACATATATTCCCTCTTCGTCCATCGTGTGTTCGCGCCACTAACTCCCTGGTCTTGGCTCTCTGTCGACGAGGAAGAAAAGCTTCTTCTTCTTCTACTTGTCGCTCTTCCCTCACGACCGGACATCGACGCGACAGCTCGAACCTATTCGCCACGTAAGGAACGATACTACGCCTCGATCTGATTCTCCGGGGTCATTATGTCAGGTGCCATCGACAGGTCCTCGGCCATGTCCTCGTCCTGACCAGAATCGTGCCCGTGACTCTCAGGATACTCCCTCTCGTCCACCTGATCATCCTCGCCCTCTTGCTCCGCCGGCGCGTCCACCAACTCCCGCTTTATTAATCTCGTCAGCTTACCACCCTCCGGGCTCTGGCCCTCCTGCTTTATGTGCACGGCTGGTTCATCCAACGGTGACCTACAGAGGTGGCGGAGAAACTGCTCGGTTACGTATGCCAAAGCTCACGGACTCTTCCTGTCGGCGGATTTTTTTGCTTGGGACGGTGTTAATTAGAGCAACTGGATGAACAATTTTTTTCAAAGCTGGTTTAGTAGAGGTTCGAGGGAAAATCGCGTGTCTTGTAACAGTTTTTCTATTTTTAATTCTAGATTGTTTTACTGTTAGAAGCTTCAAGAATGCCAACGTGTGTCGAGTGAATTGACAAAGATTTCTTAACCTCTTGCCGTATAATAACGAGTCAGACTGGTGCCACAGACTTTGGCCCAGATCTGATAAGAACCGTAGTATCGGTAAGAAAAATTCATTCAAATCGAATTTCCGATTTAATTTGTCAACATTGATGATACTGAAACAGGAAATAGCTCAGATGCACAGTCAGGAGAAGAAATCATACGTCAAGCGGTTAATCTTCAGTGGAACGTATGTACGTGTGTCAATTTTCAAGAAAACTCGAGTAATTCCGTCGCGAAAGGGTCGAAGATAGGAGAAGAATATATGTCGTGTATCAGAGGACAGTTGACTCACATTAAATCGTTATGGGCTAACACGTGATCCTTGTCGGGACTCGTTGTCGTCGACGTGCACATCGAGTTGTTTAGAAATCCCATGTTAGAGTCCCCGAGCGCAACCTGGAAATACTCAAATTGCATTAGATCGTTAGTCAGATATATTTGTTCCGTTACCTATCGTCGTGGCTATCAAAGATACGTTAAAAAAGAAAGTGGGGCAGAAAGTGTTACGATTAATCGTTCTTATCGAAATCCAAGAACATCGTCGCTTTTCAAACAGTTACCTGGAGATTGGCGTTCAATGCGTCACCGTACATGGTCGGGCTGTGTGTCAGGGTTGGACTTTTCGACGGGACACCCCTGCATATTGAGAGAGAAAATCTCTATTAGTAATCGGCGAAATTCAGCCAATGAATTTTAATTTATTCTCCTGGAAAGAAACACGCGTGTACATAAGCTCTTTTTTTTCCCGTAGTATTCGTTTTTTTTTTTCAGTTTTGTGTCGATGTATACGGGTGGAATAAATCTTCGAGAATTTAAAGGTTCGTGGTACTTGGGGGGGTGGTGGTTGATCCGAGGGTTTCGGGGGCGGAGGTACGGTATAAGATAGAGCTTTGTGTGTACAATGTGTGCACGTGTGATCGAGTATCAATATGTAGAGGTATAATAGATAGAGAAAGAGAAAGAGATAGATAGACAGAGAGAGAAATTGGAAAGAGAGAGAGAGAGAGAGAGAGATATAGAGACAGAGAGACAGAGAAGTATAATATGAAAAGATGTATACACGTATATAATATATATATTAAAAAAGTGATAAAAAAGAGTGGAAAAAGAGAGTTCGAAAACTCTTACCTATATTTACCATTGTTCACCCATTCACGCTCGCCCCGACGATGATCCGCCGCTCGGTTGAGATTGAGCGAGGTTAAGTTAAAAAAATTTGTAGAGAAAAAGTGTAAAAAAAAAAGCGCTCCCGTTTCGTTTCACCGTTGTTCTTCTTCAGCGAACAATTCAATTATTTTGCTGTACTTTTCATTCTCTATTTGTCACCGAAACGACGTCGATCCTTATAAACGGCTCTGAGGCTTACCTTGCGTGGTCTTACCCCCTTTTCTCACTTTCCACTGAAATCGTTCCCGATTGTTTTCGGTATCAAGTGCCGACCCAATGGAGTTGCATCGCCATTTTCACAAGACGGACGTCCAGTGAAAAAGGCACGATTCCTCTCTTGCAAACGATTCGAACACAATGAACACGTTCGTGAATTCGCGTGTTCGAGAAACGAGTGTTCATTTGGAATTGAACAAACAGAGATATATATACACGATTGCAAGAGACGATTGCGAGGCATGCGAAGAAGAAGAAATGTAAGAGAAGAAAAATTACGCCTAGAGCCGTTTATCAAGTGACTAAGAGCGCTGTTATTAAAGAGAAAAAGTGAGGAAAGACAGTGAAAGATAGAGAGAGAGAAAGAGAGAGAGAGAGAGAGACAGAGAGATAGACAGAGATAGTTAGAGAATTTAGAAGAAGTGAGAGTGTACGAGAGTATATATATATAAAGAGAGAGAGAGAGAGAGAGAGAGAGAAATAGAAAAAATGTTAAGAAACATTTTAAAATGATGATTTGAAAAAATAGTAGTGAAAAAATTACCGGAAGTTGCAAAGTTAGTACGTTAACGGTGAGGTACCTTGAGTTAGAAGAGAAGGTGGTCGTAGCGATGAATAGAGAATTCCGTATCATCCGAGATTCTTTATTTTTTATCTTTTTTTTTTATATTGCAGTTTTTGTGACGCTTAATTTACACAATTTACACATGCGCGAGTAGCCCTGACACACATTATCAGTCACACCGAAAACCATTCTCACGTTGAAAAAGCGTACTAAATAGCGAAACAGAAGAGAGAGAAAACGATGAACGCCGTTTGAGAAAGGGAGAGAGAAAGAGAGAGAGAGAGATGAGAGAATGATAGAAAGAGAGAGAGATAGAGAGGGAGAGTGAAGAAAAAAAAAATGAACACATACTTCAACAACGCCTTCTCTCGTTAGACACTAATTAAAATAAAAAATAAAGAGACGCAAAAGCTTCACCTTCCTTTATCACGGAACGCTATGTATGTCGTCAACTTATTTGCACTTTCTATTACTACGCTACTTAGCCTGCTTCTTTTTCTTTTAAATACAACGAAACGAAAAACAGCGGCAGAGAGGGAGGGAGAGAGAGAGAGAGAGAGAGAAGAACAAAAGAAGAAAAAAAAAAGAAAGAAAAATAGAATTCAAAACGATACGACACAAACGCTTCGTTCGCGAGTGATCGCGAACGAACAACGAAAAACGAAAAAACAAGGAGGAACAAAAGAGACAAGGAAATCACGATGATCAGTCGGGTGAAAACCAGCTTGTACTTGCGAAACAAAGAGGAAGAAGAAGAGAGAAAAAAAAAATTCGGAAAACGAAGGGTAACGAAACGTTTGTCCACGCAAACACTTTCCACATTCTCCCAAGACACTGCAAACGCCACTACGTAAGCACCATACAATTATAAGCACAGTGTTTTTTCAGTGGTAACAAGGATAAGTCTTACGGGGAAAACTTTTTTTCAAATTTCTATTACTTTCTCAGTGATTCTTATTATTATTCTTTTTTTGTTCTTTACTTTTTTCATGGTGAATTTTTACGGGAACGAATTATTAGGACTTCCTTGATTATCCATGCGAGCAACCACTAAACACATCAGAGATCCTGCAGCACGGACCAATCGTCCTGTGGCTGGGCTCCTGCAGGATCGTCCAGGATTTTAAGCTCTCTCGGGTGTGCTAGAGCCTCGGGCTACGGTACTAGTGAGACGTATACGGGGGGGTGGTGGTGGTGGATGTACTATGAGGGCTGTTTTGGACGTCACAAGCAGAGGTGCGCAGCAGATTTAAACCGTTAATAAGCTCGAGCTGCAAATTTTAATTGGACGAAAATTCTCTGTTCTCCCTCTTACATTTACACCGTACACCCATGAATATTTTTCTCCTTTTTCCCCTTTTTTCTTTTTCATATTATAAAATTACACAAGAAATCACGTTGTTCGAAAAGAAATTCTAACTACAATTCTCCTCTACGATACACTTGCGCACCTCTGGTAATAGATCAAAAGGAGGGTTAGACAGGGTTGCTACTTTGTCCGGTTTCACATAGGAGACGGATTCTAAGGCAGGCATGATGCGGAATTAATTTCCTGGGGATTGGATAAACTGCTTAGAGCCACTCCTGCTGCCTTGGAAGTCATATTTCAACGAGTCACTCTGAAAAAAATTCACTCGAGAACGCTCCGCAATGGTGGCGGTAGCTGGCAAGTAGAATAAGTCATTCTACGTCAGACAGAAATTTTTCCGGATGAGACGTGTGTTACGGAACGGTATTGTATATGTATATATCTTTTGCTCTTTTTCTCTTTAATTCCACGTTTAATGTGAATGTTCGTGTAATGGTACCAAAATGAAGGAGAATACTTTCTTCTTCTTTCCTTCTACTACGTATAATGAATGGTAAAGGATAGATGAGTGGTTATGTTAATTCGCGATTAGAACGACAAAGGCAGCAGGTTCGACGGGGGCGTTTAGTGGTTCAAAAATCGTTCTTTTCGTTTTCTTTTTATCTTTTTTTTTGTAGGCAACGACCAAGCGAAAACGTCCTGGTCGTCGCGTTACAAGAGATATACCGCGGTAAAGGTCAGAACGTCGCGCCAGCCAGCCAGCAGAATTCTAAAAAGTGGTAGTGCTTACTGTGCGGAGAGGTGGGGTGGAGTGGGTGATGGGGTTGGGTCATATTTCCTGGGGCGGCCGCGGGACTGATGCCGCCGCTTTACGAACTCGACGTCGTCCACCATCCAGAATGACCCGAAGTCGTCCTCATAGCGCACAAAACACTTGTGCAATGATAGATTGGTGCGGATCGCGTTCTGTATACACAGACAAGACCACCAAGAAATAGAGAAAAAGAGAGTAAAAAAGATAAAAGGTTGTTTCTGCTTGTTGTTGATGAATTTCTGTACTTTTTTTTTTACTTTGTTCTTTTTAATTACGTTTTTCTTTCTAGCCATGCTTTTACTTTTACTGTACTTTTTTTTTTTTTTTTGGTTTGGTTACTTTCGTTCGTTTCGCTTTTCCTTCTTTCTTTCTTTCTTTTTTTTTTTTCGAGTATTTTTCCGCCGAGCTCTACGCTCTTCTCTTTTTTTTTTTGTCGGTTTTGCGTTCTTTTTTTTTCGTCTTAGCTCACCGAGTGCCACGACCGTTTCTCTAGTAAGTAAAAAATTAGTCGTGACGTTCGTGATAGTAACGTGCACGTGAATCGCGGAGACGAGACACGCGCTGCCTCAAAACAGCCCCTAAAGCCTCGTCGTGTCATCTCCTACCCGGTGGAATTCGACGATCGAGCGTTTTACGGATCCTCGATTTAATCGAATCCTGATGTTCCAGAGAGATAATAAAGACAGCAACAGACTCGCAAAGAAGGGGTGTATAGAGAAAAAACAAACGTAAAAGTAATAACGTAGTAAGGCGGCTTCCTCTCACTACCTGACACCAAGTGCAATTCTGCGGTTCTCACTCTGCACTGGCATGTCCCGCATCCGGCTTCCGGGTATTCGAGACTAGACTCGGGCCAGAGAGAACATGGCCCTGCCAGTTCTCGATCGGTTAGTCGCTGCAAAGCCCACATGCTTGTTAAAAAGCACACACCACGGTTTTTGTCTACGGTTTCCTTTCAGACACACAGAGCAAAATCGGTACTCTTTCTCATACAATCATTCTTCTGCTCCTCCTCCTCCTCCTCCTCCTCCTCCTCCTCCTTCTCCTCCTTCTCCACCATCTCATCGTTGAATTCTCATGATCCTCGATACGCATACACGCCCTTTCACACGACACACTGACGGCTACCATCGCACACGAGAGACGGGCAAGTAAGAAAATCACACGCACGCGGGACCAAACACAATACAAAGCCTGCTTCTCGAATACAATTAGATGAAGAGATGAATTCGTCGTAGCGAATTTTCCCTGCTGAAATATACGAATTTTTCGGTAATTTTTGTAAACAGGAAGTAAGAATTTTCGCGGTAGCACCTTATCAAGGATTTTTTCAAAGTAACTTTGACCTGATAACAGACAGGAATTTTAACGAATTTTGTGTGTGTGTTTCCATAGTTGGAGGATTGATTTCGATTAATTGTAACTCGAGAAGCTCGATGTTAGCAGACAGACGTACGGACAAACGACGCAAGCGAGTTACAGATAATATAGAGATCATTATATGGCGTACACAGGTGTATGAGAAAAAAGAAATGGTTTATATATATATACACACACGCACACAAATCTATACGTATGAATGCGCACGCATAAGGTACACAGAGGGTCTAAGAGACATACAGACA